ATAAGCACGCGCCTAAGCATGGTGTGGTGAATCGCATAACATATTGTTCATTAAAGTAGTGGTAGATAATTCGCAATACAAAATAAAGCATTGTAAATAAATTTGCTTAAATTTTTAAAAATATTGTATGCATTTACAAATGCGTTTTGTATGCATGCGTATGTATATGTTGATGAAATATATATCTATGTTGATATAATAAACTGTGACTTTTATAATGTCTAGGCCCGTAAATGTGTGTGTGTGTGTGTGTGTGTGTGTGTATGTACGTTACATTGCATTTGATTTTTACCTATTAATTTGTATATGCATTTCATCTTTAAATAACTATATAAATAATATATTAAATATTTTGATTACTATTTGTTGTTTTGTAAAAAATAATATGTTAAAAATACAAAAAAAAACACGTGACAAAGTATTTAATAAAGTGATGGAGAAAAATCGCACAAAAAAAATATTCTTTGCTAAATATATCTAATGCTTACTACTTTTTATATGCGTTACTACCGAAAACAAATATGTATTACCAATATTCTAGCCCATTCTTTGCGAATTATGTAAATTTCTTATACACGATAAAACAAATTTAGGCGTAAAACTTCTTGACGAATTTCCATTTTAGCTTGCATTAATTTGATCTCTAATCAGTTTGCTTCAGTCAATTTTTAACTATTAGCTTTATCTTTCAATTTTTTCGTTCTAGTCATAATTAAATGAGTGTCATGAAAAAATTTAGTCTTAATTGTCCGATTTGGGAAGATGCTTTAAATTGCTATGCTTTGTTACTTTGCTGCTGTGTCGATTGTTACTTTTGCTTGTCGTTGCATGCCGCAGCTTTGGTATCGGCTTAATTGGCGTTACTGCCGATACTGCTGCTGTGGCGGCACTTGTTGCTGTTGTTGATAGCTGCAACGACTTAGTAGCACCGTCGGCTTCAGCTTTATTGGCTAACAATGCTGTCGCTTTTGTTGTTATCTTTGCAGTTGCACTTGTTGTTGTTGCTGCTGCTGCTGCACCAATTGGCAACATACTGCTACTGCTGCGACTCATCTTAGTACTAATGCTGTTATGTAGTATATTATTTGTGTGGATGTTGTTGTTCCTGTGGCGTTGGCAATTGCTATGCTGTTGTTGTAGTTGTATATGTTGCTTTTTCATATTATCGCTAATGTGAGACGTGCTGCTGGAAGTGTAAAGCATTTATCAGTAGGCCTGCGCCTCCTTATAATCACTCTGATCTGATGTGTAGAAGTCTTCGAGTTTCCATTGCAGCGTCTCAAAGGTCGGTCGTCGCATTGGATCCTTGTGCCAGCACTCGAGCATAATTTCATATAGGCGTGGTTCACAATTGGGTGGTGCCGGCATACGATAGCCGTGTTCGACTTGCGTCAAGACTTCGGCATTAGTCATACCTGCAAGAGAGCGATACAGGAGTGTTAATAAATGTTTTGAATAGTTCCATAGTAAATTATATATGTATGTACATATGTATTTGAGATATTGGATAATTCAACTTTGTACGAGCACAAAATACCTGACAGCCCAAAAGCTGTACGGTCAAGCGCTTTCATCTTTTTTTTTATAAAGGATATTGTGCCTTCTAAGCATATAAAATAAAATAAAAATTTAAATATCAGCTTACCAGGATATGGTATGCGTCCGTACGTCACTAACTCGGTGAGTAAAATGCCGAAACTCCACACATCAGACTTTATGGAGAACTTGCTGTAGTTGGCAGCTTCAGGTGCTGTCCACTTGATGGGGAAACGTGCGCCTACGCGTGCCTCATACTCATCTTCTTTTATAAGTCTAAAAGGAGAAAAATAATTAAATTTCTATGACCTTAATTAAAAGCATATTTTTTTAGGATCTTGTTAAGATATAATTAATGTAGACTTAACTTAAACTTACGCAACTTAAAAGCAATCTATTAAATGGGTAACACTTAAGATATAAATTGTTAATTTACAGAAATGCATTCTACATTATTTCAATTCACTGAAGTCTATGAAAGTTATGTCAAAAACCTCTGACTTTTGCAATCTGCACAAAAAGAATTATTGGTTGATATGTAGTGATCATAATTCGGTTGACATTTTTTACTGTTGCTTTCTGTTTGTAGTCATTCTACCGGCATGTTTGTTGATTGGTGTCCCAAGCATTGACCCAGGACCCAATTATGGCTGGAAACGAAATTTCGCTGGACATAAATGAGGCAATAAATGCAGATGCCAGCAGAATTCTCCCTTATTACCCTATCTCTCTAGAAGTAAAATTCAACCGAAAAATTTTCGTGTAATCTAGCTTACCAAGTCCATACATATGTACTTATACATTAGTCCTAAATGGGTCAAATAAAGTTCAATTTGTTCCAAACGATTTTGAGAAACTCACTGTGGGATTATATCAGTAGTATACAATTTTTTTATTGGGACCCTGTAAAAACAGCTAAATCGGGTTTTCCTATAACCCAGTCTGAGACTTTGAGCCTGATTGTAGAGTTCGCTGCGATTTCGCCTATTGTGAAATCCCATGAGTATAGATTTTTTTTCCTATGACAAATACCAATCGCGTTCCTGGATCAGCCGAGCCAATTCTACCGCATAATTGCTTGCACAGTGGTAGAACAAATTATAACCGCATCACATTTGGACGAGTTTTAACATATTTTTTCATTTCATTTTCATTTTTTTTTTTTTATAAAAATATAGTTCATTCTTTAACAAAACCTCAAAAACTCAAGTTTCAAACTCTGTGCAATATTAAAAAAAAAATTAACTAACTTTCGTAAAAATTTCGATCTTTTATAATTAAATTTCCTAAAATTCAGAGTATGAAATTTTGCACCCTTTTGAATTTTAGTAGAATTAAGTACAAGTTTTAAATAGCTTAAAATTACCGTTGACTATTTAGAATTGTTTTTTGTCCCATTTGCTTCCATATAACGAATAAACACAATTTAATTTTATTCGATAGAAAACCGGAATATCTTCGACAAAAAAAAATTCTGAAAAATAAACGGCCATTTGAAACTTGTACTTTATTCTACTAGAACCACTATATCTGCATGTAGCTTTTTATGAAGCTTATAGGGAAAATCAAAGACTTCCGAGATTTTTAAATATTTATTGATAAAATAGGCGCCACACTGCCGCAGAAGGATAGCAAACAAAATTCAAGCCAACGTCTACAAGGCCCATTTAGTATATAGAGTTCATCGAAGAAAGAGATTGGAAGAATTTCAATCCACCATTAGCACGGGAATTGCTTACCTTTTTGAAAATGGAAAATTTTTGAGGTCAGAGAATAACCATCGGTCTGGGAGGAATAACAATTATGACACATTTCTTATTAAATGAAAATAATTTTTTTTTTTTTTAATAATATTATCCAGCATATAATGATAAATGGCCTTATTCATAAAGCGACTCATAAAAATAAATATACTTTATAGCTAAAACCTATTTTATTTAGTAAATGGTAAGCTTAGTAAAATCCGAAATTGTAACGCTCACTTACGCTGTTATTCGCATTTACTCAATTTTCACCATTACAGCTAATTCTATGTGAACAATACACAATTGCAAAATTGCTTCTGACTAGATACGGGGACAATATTCTATTCTACAACACTTACCTCGCCAAACCAAAATCGGCAATCTTGACAACATTATTGTCGCCCACAAGCACATTACGCGCTGCCAAGTCTCTATGAATGTAATTCTGCTGCTCCAAATAAGCCATGCCAGCAGCAATTTGAGCGGCCATATCGATGAGTATCGCCATTTTCAGACTGCGCCCCTTGCCTGCAAGTACTATAAATTATTTTCAACTGCACATTATAAACTTCATGTAACGCAATGACAAACTACAAGCTAGCACATATGCATAAATAAAATGACTTTAATATACATACACACAAATATTGTACATAGAAAATACATATATTCTTCTATTCTAAGAAATTGACTCTATATAAAATGGCATTAAATGATGAAGAGACGAGAAGCGCAAAATATATATATATATAAAAAATTGCATAAATTAACACTAGCGCACCTTGCAGGTACTCCAACAGTGAACCGTGTTTCATCAATTCGGTGATGATGTAGATCGGTTCCTCTACTGTGCAAACAGCATAGAGCTGTATGAGTTTTGTGTGACGCAGCTTTTTCATAATTTGAGCTTCAGCCAAAAAGTCTTTTGGATCCATTGTGCCTGTAGAATGTAAAGAAAATATGATTAGTAAAAGTACTTAATATGCTCTTAGCATTTGTTGACCAACCTGATTTCAGCGTTTTAATCGCCACCGGTGTGGTATTATTCCACAAGCCCTCCCATACTTCACCGAATTGTCCAGAGCCCAATTTGCGCACGAATTTGAGAGAAGTTCTGTCGATCTCCCACTGATCGCGTGTTCGATGCGATAGACCTTCGGTGACGGGTTTCTCGATCTGAGTGTAAAAATATTTACCAAAAAAATTTATTAGAAATATTTATATAGAAAAATATGTATAGATAGGCTTAGATAAGTAAGAAGATACGTTACATTGGATTTAAAGAGTGTTTTGTAAAATGTTATTGGATGTATTTTGTACATTAATACTCGAGTGTTTATTGATAAGTAGATTTTATTCAGCACAATTTATGAGGTAAGTGAGTATGTATGTACATGTAGTTTTTTGTTTTTTTTTTTTTGCTTGTTTGTGGTATATTTAATTTTTCACGAATAGGTGGAAGTGGAGAGATTAAAGCAGTGATTTCTGAGAAGACGAACAACACTTTGAACAGCAAATTATTTATTAAGAAAAGTGCACGGTGGTTTCTTAATCAATTTCTAAATGCGGTAGCATTAAAATACAGGTTTGAAGTTTCCAGTTAAATTTGTTTGATCTTGTATGGGTTAGCCTACCATAGTTAAAACTTTATCACAATTAAAAACAAACTAAAGAACTGAGATAATCTACGTATCTTTCAAATAAATTAAAAGGCCAATATTTTTGTTTTTTCATCAGATTTTTCAGGCAAAAAATTAGTCACATCTTAAAATTAAACGGGAGGCTAAGTTTAACATTTAACAAAATTTGTATTTTTAATGGCATATAATGTGCGGCTTATAATGGATTTGTCAATTACCACGTACGCATGTACATTAGGGTGAATCACCAAAAAAAAAAAAGGTTACCCTTTTCCACCGGAATTATAAAGATAATTATAATTTAAGACTTCCGCCAAAATATTTTGGAAAATATTAAAATCTATGTTCGTGGCTAGACCCATCTGAAAACACACCCCAAGAATCTCATTATTTTGATTACGTTGACACAATTTTTAAAAATTTTTAGCTTAACTTTAGCTTTGTGGTAATTTTTAAGAAAAAAAATATTTTTAAACACCAACTATCTTTATATAAAAATTCGCTTTTTTTGGGGGTACTTTCAAATAGGTCCAGCTCACGTAAATTTTAATACAAGTATT